AAATCAGATTCTTCAATAAACTTAAAAAATTTGAGCACTGTCTGCTCTTAAACTTTGAGCACTCCCAGCTCCCATGACATATTTCATTAACAACAAAATTAATCTCCCCTAAACCCCCATGACATAATTTATCCACAATGACATAATTTCTGTCTCCTAACCCCCCACATTATATAAAAATAAAACCTCACCTCTTCCACATAAGCCCCGTGATCAAGGCCAAACACGTTTGCCCCAACCCGTTTGTCTTAGTCTACGATGGACTCAACAACACCACGGTTCTCAAGCCCTGAGCAACCCGTGTCTCCCACACTTCAACCTTTAAAGCTTGAACTACGATCCTCGTAGCTCCACGAGGATTAATTTCCAATGAATTCCCCCAAGGTTAAACTTACGTCCCCGTCTTGGGACTGCCCCTGAAAGACTCACGATCTCCCCATCGGGAAACCCCTCCCCCTTCCAAATACCAACACCTTCGAAACATGTCCAGTCTCAAAGCTCCACTCAAAGACCTCGGATTTTCTGATCGTTACGAGATATTAACACTGGCTCCTCCGAGAGTACACCTAGCGACGAGGCTGGCGACGTAAACTATCAGCCAGTTTGTCAGAACAATCGAACACAAGATCTTCTGAACATCAGTTGACCACAAGATCTTCTGATTGATCTTTGTCTTACGTTTGTTTTGTTGTTTTCGCACGCTTCATTTAAACTGCAGTCGTTCGTGTGACAAGGACTCTCAAAGTATTTCGAACTGAAAATCATTATTGTCAAGTTTGTTCGTTGACTTGTATTTCACATACTCATAGGCCTTTACTCTACAAAAAATGCCTTGCTATTCACAACCAGCTCCATGCTAAACCACCTACACATAAAACAGAAAGAGAAAAAATACACACATCAGATGCAATTGAAAGCTGTGAGAGAAATTCGTTAAAAAATGATCCCAAATAAATCAGATCTAGCATTATATCTGCGATTTTTTTTTCAAGTGCATATTATATATGGTGTAGGTTTTGATGAACTGAAGTTATTTGTAGAGTTCCCAACATCGTTTTTAAATAACGGAATAAGAATTTCAGTACCCATAAATACTTATTCGTTAAAATTAAATTTAAATAGTAAGGTTACATTTAAAAGACCCCAAATTAAAATCAGATGACTTAGAAATTTCTGATTTTTATCGATTTTGAACCAGAACTTTTTAAACATTTAAATAAGAAAAATGTATATTTTTTATTTAAATCAGAAAGATACAAAATATACATAGCTGAATAGCTGCTAAAGTGAAAAGACTTTTTTTAAATAAAAAATTTGACAACGTATAAAAGGTCTCAAAGGATGTATCAAATATATAGTGTTGCCTTTTAAGAACAAGCACGTTTATGTTTCAAACTGACATTCTTGGTATTTTTACGAGAACTTAAGTATTTATTTGTTAACATACATTTTGCTAAAGGAGAGAAAAAAAAAAGGGGGGGGGGTATATAAAAATTTACAAAAAGGTTAATTGTAAAAGTAAAGAACGTAGATTGATTATAAAAAATACAATACTGACGAACAAGACGCAATCAGGCAACGAGTACAAAAAAAGTAAATATATGTTACGCTTTAAAAAAAAAAAAAGAAAAAACATTCTTGGTATTTTTACGAGAACTTAAGTATTTATTTGTTAACATACATTTTGCTAAAGGAGAGAAAAAAAAAAGGGGGGGGGTATATAAAAATTTAAAAAAAGGTTAATTGTAAAAGTAAAGAACGTAGATTGATTATAAAAAATACAATACTGACGAACAAGACGCAATCAGGCACCGAGTACAAAAGAAGTAAATATATGTTACGCTTTAAAAAAAAAAAAAGAACAAAATTTAATTTTTAAAAAAATCTTCATGGAACATGAAATCAAGGTACCCGACATTGTTTAAAAGAAATTGAAATTGTAAAAAAAGGTTTTATAAACTTTATTTGTAGCCTACAAGTTAGGCCAGCAACATTTATTTTTAAGAAACTTGTTATCTTACAACTTGCTTGTTCGGTTGTTGTTGTTTTGTTGTTGTTGTTGTTGGGTTTTTTTTTAAATTGTTTAAATACTTTAAGAGAGCGTGTTATGATACATTACTTTTTGGATGCTAATTTATTTCAATCTAAAATAATACTTTTTAATTTTTTTTTTTTTTTTTTTTTTTCTGCTTTCTTTAGTCCAATCTAACATAAAAATTATTAATTTTTAAAAAAAATTTAATGAATAACTAATTTATTTTTTATTTCAAAGTGGTAAACATAATATTTTATTTCATAAAGGAAGCCCATGATAAGGGTTTAAACATTCATGTTTTTCTACAGGTCAGACCTGTCAGACTCTGACTAAATGTCGACGACTTTATTAAAAAAAGAAGAGTTTATTAAAAAAAAAAAACATTTAATCTATAACAACACATGAATAAAAACAAAACGTTCTTCTCGAATGTCAAAATGTCTTTTCCCAAACCATCGCTGGCGATTTCACAAAAAAATAAGTGCATCATTTTGCCAATCTTATTTTGTCGGGGCGCAAACTTCAAAGAACTGCTCTTTATACTATACATAAAATTTATAAGTGTTCGAATGTTCATCTACACAATAAAACAATTCAGGCATCAGAAAAGCTTAGCGAAGTGGCCGTCAAGATTACTTCTCATAATTGTATAATCTCGAGAGCGAGATGATGGATTCAAAATCGTCTGATGTGTAGTCAAAAGATTCTTTCATTGCAAAGAAACATCCAAAGGGATAGTCGATGAAGAAAGCAATCCTAGGCGAGCATACACTTGACCTGTACTTGACCAGTATACTTCACCTGTACACTTCACGTGGTGACATAAAAAAATCCAAACACTTTTTTTTTTCCTCGAATCACCAGTTAATAAGCTAGGTCCTTCCTTGAAGACAGAGCTAATATAAATTGGGCCAAGAGTTTCCCTAGAGGCTCTGGCCAATTAATCGGTGTGCTGTCAGCTGCTGTCGGAATCGGTAAAGATATGAAAACTTAATATCTCATGGAGCGATCTCTACAGCGTACTAGAAACAATTTAATACGACGTTAAGCTATGCTGTGTATCTTTTAAATCAGCTTCAGTAAAAGTCATTTCATGTGCGTAGTGTCTGTTAACTTCATATCGCTAAAGTTAAAAAAAAATAATACTGATTTCCAGGACTAAAAATTTAAAGAAAGTATACTATAGAGATTTATGTGACAGGGGTCTCTCGAAATTCGTATGTTCTTATGAGTAAAAAGACAAGTGTTTTCTTTCTTTTACAATGTCTAGAATGTTATTAGTTGTGCAATGCTAAGTTACTCTTCAGCGTTGGCCACTTTGCTGAGCCCTTTGAAGTGGACATCTCGTCGCATTTCCTTGCTGTCTCTATTTTGCCAAATTCACACACCAATGGAGAAACAGATTCTTGAAATAATGACAGATTTAAATCTAGTTTTTGCAAAGTAAAGACATTAAAGAAAATATTAACGCATCTCAATTTTCCAAAATTAATTTTTCATGTGTCTAAAATGATTCGGTTTTTATATTCATTGCTATACTTATATAAATGTACTTACGATTTGTAAACGCCTTTAATTTTTTTAATTTGGTAACATATTTTTATTTTTTAAAAGAGAATACACCATCTCTTTTTTCACAAATTTTATACCATATTTAAATATAGTGTCATCAACGTAAAAATGATCACATCCTATTCCCTACCAACGATATGTATGTACCAAAGAAGTTTAATTATTTATCAAATTCATTCATTTATTTTGAGATGTATCTTGTGCTGCCTGGGGGAACATGACTAACCCCTACCCTCACCCAGATTTAAATAAAATTAATAAAAAATCCTCCAACGGATTGTAGTCCCTTTCACACCCAAACTATCATTTTTTGCACTTCATATGGTTTGTTCTTATTGTGATGAGTTATAAGTGGAATAGCGAATGCTATTTGGCTTGGCTGTGGAGTTGCGCAGCACTTATTGACTTATATTTCTAATAAGAAAATGCCGTTTATTTAAAGGTTAAGTTTTCATTATGTTATAAATTTAATAAAATTATATTTTGGAATTAAAAAAGTAAAACTATTAAATGTTAAAAATGAAAAGCTAAAATGTGTGTGTGTTTTATTAGCAATTTAAAAAGCATTCAATTACATGTATTAATTTTACTTTTAAGAAGTGGGAAATACTTAATCAGTTTTGTTACGCGCTGTTATTAAATCAAAGAAATGTAAGAGTTTTGGCTAACATTGTCTATTCGCACTATGACGTAATTTTCGTGTTTAAGAAAAAATTAAGTTTTATTTTATTTCGCAATATTAATAACCCAACAAAAAATGCACTAAAAACTATTAATTTGGTTTTACCGATAAATCTGATTACGATGTAATTCCTACATCATAATTTTATTATGATTTTTTAAAATAGCTTTTAAATTCTGATAAACTCCCTAAAAACAGTTCTTTAATTTTTACTTTAAATGCATTTGTAATTTATAATAATAATACTTAAACTTTTACTAAAATAAAACGGTCTATATGTTATTTTTGAGCATTTAAATTTATTCCATTTCCGTAAAATAATAGAAAAAAACTATGATTGTTTTTAAGAATCCAAACGTATGTTTGGTTCTTTGGCGTTACGTCGGCATAGCTAATTCTAATATATTTGTTATTAAAATAATATCATATAATTAGTCAATCTTACTATTATTCACATTGAATTGTTTTAGACATTGTTTAACACATAGTTGTAACCATTACTTCATTTGAAACTTTTTTAGGTAATTATTTCTCTAAATGCCCCTACTATCCATAATAATTTTTTTTCTCCAATTTTCTATTTAGAAGCTATGAGATATATTCAAAATGTTTGACAACGTAACGACTAAAACCGAAGCTGGTCAAATCACGCAATTCGACCTAGGAATCTCGTACTGGCGAGAGTTTCTAGCTGCCTTTTACATCTACTGCGTCGTGATCCCACCTCTCAGTGTTTTCGGGTTTGTAGGAAACATTTTCTGCTGCAAAATTCTGGTGCGAAGCGGAATGGGAAAACCCTCTAACATCATCCTTTTCGCACTGGCTATCGCTGACCTATGTACTGTACAGATCAACGTAGCACGGATACTGTACACATACGCCCCCAGCGTCCAGGGCAACCAGTACGGCTGGATGACCGATTACAACACGGCCGTGTGCGCGTACCTGTACCTGGTGGCCGTGACCTTTATTCAAAACGTCGGGAGCTACACCTCGGCGAGTTTCTCCGTCGTCATCACGATCGAGCGGCTGATTGCCGTGTTTCTTCCACTGAGGTTTGCCAGTATCGTCAGCCCTGCCCGCGCCTGGCTGGTCGTCTCGGCAGTCTACCTGTTCTGGATGCCCTGGTGCTTGTTTGCTGCAACTCTATACAGGTTTGATTACGCGATGGTGCCATTTTACAACACATCCGTCGGACGTGCCAAGTACACGGACTTCTTCTACGCTAATTTCGATATCATCACTAATTTAAATTTCAACATTATCAACACTCTTTCAACGGCGGTGCCTCTCGTTTTCGTCACGGTCGGCTGCATTATTGTAAGCGTTAAGATCAAGGTGAACCTGCGCAAACGACAAAAGATGACATCATCCACCAAGAAGACGTCCAGTACCCACACCACAGCAACACTTCTGGTGATCTGTTTCGTGTTCGTCTTCTCCCATAGCATCGTCTACCTGTCTGATCTCATCTCCAACAGCCTCTTGGACTTTAGGGACACATCATCGTCGGGCTTTTTCATTGTTTTGGTTGTCCCTCTCCAAAGCCTTTTAAAGACAATCAACAGCTCTTCAAATTTTATCATTTATATCATACTGAACCCGAAATTTAGAAAAATCTTCATAGAGATTATCACAAGAGGCACTTTCAAAAGCAAATTAGTTTAGCGTAATAAAATTTGGAGCTGAGAGTAAAACTAATAAATTTGTTTACTTTCAAGGTGTTAATGGAACAAACAACTGAATGAATGAAAGAAACGAGCAAATAATTACGAATTAAATAACTTATAATTGCTGTTGTTTTGTCAACATCTTTAAGAATGTAAATGTTATATAGGGATTGGAAAAAGCGACCCCTTTAATATGTGTGATCTTAATAATTAAACATAAATTTAGAAATAAATAGATAAGATCTTTATTCCACACGATTTATTTAGTTTTGGCCTCTTTTGGGATTCTTATAAAATGCGTTACTTGAACTGAATGAATGGTTTTTTTCAAATTTTCAGCCCCGCTCCCAACCCTACAGCTCGAGATTACATTTTATGAAAGGAAAAACTATGTTTTTAAGGCTTGTAGTACATTTAGTATTTAATCAAATTAGTGACGTCTTGTACTTCCCAATTTGTACTATCCCATCTTGTACTACCACATCTTGTACTGCCACATCTTGTACTTCCCATCTTGTACTTCCCAACTTGTACTATCCCATCTTGTACTACCACATCTTGTACTACCACATATTGTACTTCCCAACTTGTACTATCCCATCTTGTACTACCACATCTTGTACTGCCACATCTTGTACTTCCCATCTTGTACTTCCCAACTTGTACTGCCACATCTTGTACTACCACATCTTGTACTTCCCATCTTGTACTTCCCAACTTGTACTACCACATCTTGTACTACCACATCTTGTACTTCCCATCTTGTACTTCCCAACTGGTACTATCCCATCTTGTACTACCACATCTTGTACTTCTTATCTTGTACTTCCCATCTTGTACTATCCCATCTTGTACTACTCCATCTTGAAGTATCACATCTTATACTACCACATCTTGTACTACCACATCTTATACTACCACATCTTGTACTACATATTTTATACTGCCACATCTTTTACTACCACATCTTGTACTACCCCATCTTATACGACCACATCTTGCACTACCCCATCTTGTACTACCACATCTTGTACTACCACATGTTATACTATCACATCTTGTACTACCACATATTTTACTTCCACGTCTTGTACTACCAAACCTTTTATTACCACATTATGTACTACCGCATCTTTTACTACACTGCCACATCTAGTACTACACAACCACATCTTGTACTACACTACTAAATCTAATACTACACTACAACATTTTTTACTACACTGCCACATCTAGGACTACCGTTACCACATATAGTACTTTCGCTACGAAATTACTCTAACTCTGTTCTACAAACTCACCTTGATTTAGCTACAAATTTCGCTTCTTCCCCTTTTCAATCTGAAACTCCGCGAAGACACAATATGCTAAAACCCCTGCCATATTCCAGTGCTCTACCAAATCAATGAAAGCTCCCTATAATATTCTTCTGATTGCCCTTGCTCTCTCCTTCCTATAAAACCTTATCATCTACATCTTAACCATGCCCGTCTCCCGACCATCTTACCCACTATTTTTATACAAAGAGATTACAATAAATGTCGAATTTTGTTTACATTGTGTAAGCTGGAAGAACGATTTGACAATGTTTGGTGGAAGCGAAGCTAATGTAAAGCTAAATGTAAGCAAGTTTCAATGGAAACAGGAACTGGCAAAGCCTGTTGGAATTAAGGCTGTAACAGGCACCTGGCAAAGTCTGTTGGATGTAATGCTGGAAGAGGGACAGGGCAAAGTCTATTTGGGTTAAAGTTCTGGCAAAGTATGTTGGAAGTAATGCTGGAAGATGGACAGGGCAAAGTCTATTGGTGGTAAAGTGTGAACAGGGACCGTGCAAAGTCTGTTTGAAGTAAGGTTGGAACAGGGACCTGGCAAAGTCTGCCGTGTTAAAGGTGGAATAGGTACCTCGCAAAGTCTGTTTGGGCTAAGTTTAAAGGAACCTTAAAAAAGTGCGTGTGTGGTAATTTTGGCACAGGGACCTGGCAAGGTCTGTTGCAAGCAAGGTTGTCACAGGGACCTAACAAAGTGCCAAAGTCTGTTGGAAATAATTTGGAATAGGGGCATTGCTAATTCTGTAAAGGAAGGGGGGGGGGGGGTTAAAGTAGAGATGAGTGCTAATTGGAAAATGTATAATAGCATCATGCTTTAAAAAAAAAAAAAATTCTTTTTAGCTAACATTTTAATGTAGTAGATTCCATCCATGTATATTGAGTTAGATAAAATGAAAGCTTTAAAAAAACACACAAAAACGATACTTTAAAACAAAAAATTAAGCACTTACCGGTTGAATACAAATAGTGGACAATTCCCTTATTATGATTAAATCAAGTGCCTTTCTAAGTTTGTAACACAGTTTCGGGAACAATAGAGTAAAATGATTTTTTTTTTTTTAATACTTAGCTTTTATTTATTAAATCACCAACGACTTTACTCTGTTCAATTTGAGAATTATAAACAATCTTCTCCAGCTTTATGAACTTTTTTTTTTAAAATATCATCTTTAGATGATAGGCCTAATCCAGTAGAAAGAATATACATATTCAAACAACGTATTTTTTTAATGTAGCTTTTCGATTATCTTTAAATACCATTGTTGGTATTAGTTAAAATAAAGAAAATTGTTTTGAAGTATAATATCGAAGAGGCAAGTTGTAATTGATCTGAAGCAAATTATAATGCTTAAAAATCTAAATTAACATTTCAATCAACTGAATAGAATTTTAACATTATTTTTATACGATTTCTGTCACCAAAAAAAAATCACACATTAATAAATATATGATGTCTTTTGTAAACAACTCACGTCTTCTTAACAATTTTGTCGGTTACTTCCGATTTATAAATAAATACCAATTTTGAAACCCCATTTCTACAGAAAAACTTTTTTTCCTTTGTTAACTTTGGTAAAACTTAGGAATATTTAGAAGTAAACATATGTTTGGGATTTTCTTTTTTTGTTCAAAATGTAAAACTATTTTAGCATTTCTTTTTTGTGATGGATATCTTTTTTGGAAGGAATTCATTTTTAATTTTAAAATTATTTTATAGTAAATCCATTATTTTGTATGTATTTTACCCTAAAATATTTTTAATAAAAAATTATAAAAATATATATTTGTATAACACTCTTAGTCAAGCAGAGATGTCGCTTGACTTTTTGTGGCACCCCGGTTGCTTTTCGGTTGTGTCCTTTACCAAGCTGTAAAAGTGGATAATTTAAAGTAATTACAGCACAACTTGAAGCCCTTAAAATATACGAGGCCCCATGCTGCTATACGGGTTGCAGACCTCACACGATGGCTCCGAGGTCATGTGACACCTAAAATCGTAAATAGTATCTCTCCCATTGCTCTCCAGTCAAGTGTAGAATGATGCAAAACTATATTTAACTATGTACAAAAATGCATTCTTGCATTTTGAATTATAAAAAATTTTTCCATGGCCTATAAAGTTTTAAAGGACGAGTGTAAGCTAGGGAGAACTCTCGACAAAATAAGCATAGCCTCAGAGGCGTAGCGTGGTGGGGGCAGGGGGGGCAGATGTCCCCGGGCGCCAGCTAGTTAGGGGCGCCAAAATGTGTTTTGATATTATTTTATTGATGAAAATAATGGGTTTGAGAGTTGAAAAATAGAAAAAGGGGCGCTTTAAAATGGATCTTGTCCCCGGGCGCGAATCTTGTCCCCGGGCGCCAAACACCCTCGCTACGCCACTGCATAGCCTTAGTGCTCCCAACTGAAATGAATTTAGTTAATATTTGGCTGGTGGAAGAGTTAATGATGTCCTATTATTATGGCTATTTCTAGCGCTTCCCACCCAAAAGTCTGAAATGTCTTCATCAGTGGCGCTTAATCCCATGTAGGCCCTGGCCTGCTCCACCACAGCCCTGGCCTGCTCCACCACAGCCCCGGCCTGCTCCACCACTTTCTTCCATTTGGATCGATCCATCGCTCTCCGCCTCCATGCACGAACCCCCAACCTTGGTAAGTCCTTGTCTACATCGTCAATCCATCTCAGTCTTGGTCGACCGGTGAGTCGTCTGCCCTTAGGTTTCTGCATGTAGATCGTTTTTGCTGCTCCAGAATCCGGCTAGAGACGCCTTCGATGGTTAGGGGTTGTACGGAGAATGGAGGAATGACGTATCCCAAAGATGCTGCTGTATGGAGAGTTGGCAGAGGGGACAAGACATATTGGACGATCGTGCCTGAGATTTATTGACGTTTGCAAACGAAGCATGAGGGAAGCCAATATTGAAACAAACGAATGGGAGTTCATTGCCGAACATCGCTCCAACTTGCGTACAGCATTGTTTGGAGGAGTGAAAAAGGCAGAAGTTACTCGAAAAGAGCCCCTCGAATCAAAAAGAACAATCCGAAAATCAAGAATTGACCGGGTTTCAACATTCTCCTGCGAGAGATGCGGCCGTGATTGCCATTCTAGGATTGGCCTAGTGAGCCACTCGTCAAAGTGTAGAGCTATATAGCTGCTCCATCGTCTCACGTAGACGGAAGGATGCCATAATCCGGCATAATCCATAATTGTTGTTCAAAAATTTATTTTGAGTAGCAGTAGTATTTTTAAAATACATTATTTCACTGGTAACGATATGGTGAAAACTGTTTCGTACCAACTTTCTATTGGAGTTAAATCTTCGGCTCGGCTATTCCTATTTTTTTTTCTTTCCCCTATGCCATATGCCATATTCAAAACCCGGCAGAGTGGGGGTATTACATAACTCAGATTGGAAGTGGCTGCTTCCTCTTCCCTCCCCACTGTGTAGACGCCTCTGGTCTGAAGTTGAAGGTTGAGAAGATTGAATGAGTGAATCAAATATTGTATTAATTTTTCTTTTACAATTATTAATTTCTTAAAACGCGAATTAAAATATTTATTTTAGTGATCCCGTTAGGCTTATTAGTGAAATCTTACCTCTTCTTCTGAAGAGTGCCACAGCGAAACCCAAAATCATTATTATCAAAAAGCCCAACTAAACTTACATTGGGTTCAGCCTTACTTCCTTTGGTAAAATTGTTAAGTTTCCTTATCGAGCTATGATAAAAGCGTTGTCTCATATCTGTAGTTAGCATTATTTATTGATCATGTTTCTAATTATTTTCTGACTGTTGAAAAGTGGAAATCGGTGTCGACTGAACAAACTACTGACAACTAAAACAAAATTGAAACATTGTTAATTATTAATTGTTTTGATTTGTTTGACTCACTAACTAACTCTCTATAATTTGACACAAACAAACTTCAAATTCTGACTACACTGATAATACAAATAATATTGAAATTGTGATACATTGCCTAAAATTCAAAATACAAACGACTAACTTAGTGGTGACTCACTTTTACTGTTTAGTTATCAGCTACCCATACTCATACTGTCATACTACTCATACTCATACCAGTTCCAGTGATTCAGTGATGTAAACATAGGCCTACTTACTATAAACTTATTTTAAGTTTAAGATGAAGGGGTCAAAGATAAAAAAAAATATAAGTATATGATCGATTATTTTATTAGTATTAGCGGTCATGTGGCAAGGCTGATGGACAAATATCTTGTGCATAATAATAATAATATCTCAAACAACTTGGTCATGTGATGCACGAATATCTCGAAAACTTATTTGTCTGGTCGCCGCACATGTAGACACTTCGTATTATATATTGTCACATCATTCATCTTTTACTACCTTTACTATTGAATAATATTAGTATTAGTAGTATTAGTATTAGTATTACTAAGGAAATGTGACAGTCTAAGACTAAGACACAAAATTATTTGAGATCATTGATTGAGATAGGCCCTATTAAGAAAATCAAAATTCCTTTATAATTCAGTATTGACAGTAGGCAGTAGTAGGCCATATTTATTGTGATGTGACTTTGTAGCTTATTTTACTATTATTATATTTATTTTATAAATATAGACATAGCCCTATAAATAAGAGCCTAGGCATAGAAGCTGTAGTATTATACAGTATAAGTATATGTCTATAAAATTTCATATTTTTACTTTAGCTAAGAGGCCTAAATTATAACTACTGTGCTGTGCATCAATTACAAGAATTCATCAGTCATAAGAAAAAAGAGAGACTTAAAGACTTAAGCTAAAAAATATTCAAAAATTCATTTTAAAAATTGAACGATCTCCTAAATTATATTACCAAGCTCTTTTAGCTGCGGACATGCCTATCTCTATCAGAAAGTTTAAAAGGAGCATGTGTAAAATAATTTTGTGTGTTAAGTCACTGAACATTTTGCACATCCCTCCATGCCTACTGTTACATAGTCCTCACTGCGTTACCATACATTTTAGCCACATTTATTATTTTATTAATTTCAACACTTACCAACCAGCGTGTGATTGGATATGTAAAAAAAAATTGTTTAAGAGCCATTTTATCACATAAACTATTGTAAATTTTAAAAAATCCATTACAAGACATAATTTTAACTCTTATATTTATTTTAAAATGATTTATTACCATAACTTTTAAAAAAATGATTTAAATCGGATGAATAAAAAATCATGATTTAAATAGGAAAAATTGTTTATAATTGTTATTTATATATCTAATCTATTTATGTTTAAAGGCACTTGCTTAAAAGAACGTCTGTTGTAATGTATTATTAGTCACACAATTATCTCTTAATATTTAATGATTGCAAATTTTATAATAATAAATGTGATTTTTATTTAATTTAACTTTTCAGTTTTTAGACATTAGAAGTAGATTGGGGTTGAGAAAAATGGAGAAAAAAAATTGTTTTGTATTCAAATTATTTAATTAGTTGGCTTTTGTCGCATATAATGACATTGACAATTAAAATATTACAATACTGGTATTGATAACTTGAAAGTGTGAAGCTGAAATGAAATTCTTATTCATTTAAATTAGAGCTATAACATTGAGAGCATACTATTGCTTTCAATGATCATAAGTTTTAAGACAAGCAGGGCTGGAAGTTAAAAACCAAAAAACAAAATACATGACTATGATAAGCCAAGAACAGACAGATGAAGCCATTAAAACTAGAAACCACACAGGGCATACTTCATTAGTCAGAAAATTAAAAACATTACAAGAAAAACAAAGAAAATTATTTATAAAACTGTAATTAGACCAGTTGTAACATACCCAAGTGAAACTTGGACCCTAACAAAAACAGCATAAACCCTATTAAACATATGGAAGAGAAAAATTTCTTCAGAAAACATATGGACCAACAAAGGATGAACATGGATGAAGAATATGAAACAAACCAGGAACTGTACAATCTATATCAGGATCCTACGCTAGTAGCAGAAATAAAAAAGGGTAGGCTTTGCTGGGCAGGACACTTAGAAAGAATCTCAAATGACAGAGGAGCGAAGAGGGTACATCACCAAAACACCAGGGGAAAACGGGTTAAAGGCAGACCTAGGCTTAGATGGATGGATGATGTGGCAAACGATCTATAGCAGCTGGCAATCCAAGCATAGAAAAGAAAAGCATTAGTTAAGTCTGAGTGGAAGGAAGTAGTGAGGCAGGCCAAAGCCCTACATGGGCTGAAGTGCCACACGGATGGATGGATGTAAATCAATAAGTTTAAGTCTAAGAAACTGGTTTAAATAATATTAAAGTCATTATGTTTAATCTGTATTAAAATTAATATACTTAAAATCTAAAGAAATCTGTTTTTAAAAATAAGAAGACAAAAAGTATTTTAATTTAGAAAATCTAATTTAAAAGTTTTATTTAAGTACCATCAACGTCATTATGTTTGGTCTTTATAAACATTAATATACTTTAAAATCTAAAGTAATTCTTTTTTTTTTTTAAATGACGTAATTTTAGGGAAGAAAAAAAATCTGATTTAAATTTTTTTTCAATTTATTTGAATCCAACAATTTATTTAAATACTGTAAAGTAATCTACATAAACATTACTATGCTTCAAAATATAAACAAATCCTTTTTTAAAAAAGGAAGAGAAAAAAAATAATAAAATCCCATTTAAATCAAATCACTCCAATTTAAATGAAATAAATCCAATTTAAATCAAATTACCGGTAATACGATTTTAAAAAAAATAAAATGATGGCATTTATCAACCCTGCTTCCTATATTTATTCTACTGATTAATGAGCTTTTTCAGGGGATGTAGACTGAAATGTAATAATAATTACTGGTACTAAAATCATTTGATATGACTGAGAATAAATCTTTTTTTCCTAGATCAATCTTTATAGTTTATAGACTCAATTTCAAGGCCATCTCATCATTTTTATTATTTTAACTTTTTGCTTTGTTTCTCACATTATCAAACATATCCTTGAGTAATCCAACAGTATTCAACATGTCATTTAATTTTCAACTTCCATATTCATGCCGTGAATATTAGACTGACGATATTTTGTTGTTGATTCATTTGTCAGGGCGAGGAAGGGGATGGTAAAGCCACTTGTTTTAGATCCGGCTGGCCGCCATACATGTTTATGAGGACACATACAAGAACACTTCATCATCAGAGGCAAATATGTCAGAAGTAGAAAAAATCAGAAATATAACACCAGAAACTGTTGAGCTGGCAGAGCAGTCAGAGCCTTTGATGCCAGTAAATGTGGCTCAGAATCATAGGAAAACATCTCTTGTTCGCCAAGACAGAATTGAGGAGGCTGAAGTTGAATTCATCACTTCTCCAGTTGCAGCTTCTCCATCGTCCACCATCTCTTCAAAACAATCGCAACCTGTTGCGGGATATTCTGGGGCAGGTGCCTCTCCGAGTCATACCGGTGAGCGCTTAGCTGGAGCCCCCCCGAACCGTACAAGTGAGATTTTAGCTGACGCCTCTCCAACCCGTGCTGGTGAGCTTTTAGCTGGAGGGATTCCGAAGAATAGAAAGCGACCTGGATCAACCAGTGACGGTCAGCGTATAACTATGATTGGAACTGTTACTAGAGGAAATAGTGTAGGGCAACCTGTTGAGGTATGGTATGACTAAACAATGTTTTTTTTTTTTTTATTTATATATAAATCACTGATTACATTACAAACAATATTTGTTAAAATTTTTTTAAAGCCGTTTATTCATATATCTGATGCATATCTTTTATCAACTTAGAAAAACTTATAGTATGGGTGGCCCATATTATAACTTATATTACTTATAAGTTATTTTAAAGCATTCCAAATTAAAAAAAAATTTTTTTACATTACAAACCGAATAGAAAAACTCAGAAGATTGGAGAATTAGATTGCTCTAACTATTAAAGAATGAGTTTGAACACTGTATCCACAGAAAGTGAAACTGTTGGAAGCCAGGTTGAAAGTTTTCAATTTCAGTTTGTTCCATCAAATTAAGATGATTAAAACTGATTTTTTTTCCCTTATTGCTTTGTAAATAACATAAAGATATTGTTCGTTTTGATCTATCTTCGTTTCTTCTTTCCTTTAGGTGCAACTTGAACTGACAGAGAATGAATATCTCCGGCTGACTTCTAGGAAGTCTGAGGTGAAAGAGAAAACGAAACGGGAATGCAGCCAGAGGGAAGGATTTCACATCGTCCTGTGGAGTGTTGCCTGCATACCTCTGGCGCTGATCATGTCTCTGTGCATCTCATTCTACAACGGAGCCATGACCTGGTACAATCTAATCATCTATTTCAGTGAAGAGAAATCATTTTTATACCGCCTTACACTGTGTCCGCTGATTATATTGTCTTTTCCCATTTCTGTGGGTCTCTCCTCCTTTTTGATTGCTCTGGTGGCCTCTTTTATGCAGATTTCCTGGTCATGGCTCAGATGGCGTGCCGAGATCTCAGACGGTGAGAAGGGATTTTACGGCTGGTTGTGCAGTAAAGTTGGACTGCCGAAATGCTCGCCGTATGAAGTTGTCATTTTAGATGAAACGAATGCTTAGTCTGAATGTTGCATTATTGTGCATTTATTTTACTGCCAGTTTATTGTACTTTTAATGTCAGTTCTATGTAAATTTACTGTCAGTTCTATGTACATTTACTGTCAGTTCTATGTACATTTACTGTCAGTTCTATGTACATTTACTGTCAGTTCTATGTACATTTACTGTCAGTTCTATGTACATTTACTGTCAGTTCTATGTACATTTACTGCCAGCTCTATGTACATTTACTGCCAGTTTATTGTGCATCTACTACCAGTTCATTGTACATTTACTGTAAGCTTACTATAGATCCAATGTCTGTTTACATTTCATGTACTCAATTCATGTTCCTAAAAAAGTATTATTGGGGATTTTGTTTTTTTAAACATAAACTATAGGTCCGATTTAAAGTTGTTCAATTGAGGATGTTACCTTTGTCCCTGTGGGCTTCAATGAAAGAGTGTCAAGTAAATATTTGTTGATGTTGTACTTCTGTTTTTGTTGTGATCAGGGCCAGTTTAACATTCCATCACATTCCATTAAGAATATGCCAATTGACCCCCATATCATTAGTAGTTATTTAGCAGGTCACCCAGATAGTAAAGCAGAACCACCACCACCCCACCCCCGATTGTATAGCAGATCCCAAGACTGTGTAGTGGTGTAGCAGGCTCCCATGTAGTATTATAGAACCCCAGGTTGTAATATAAGCCCCCCCCCCCCAGGTTAGTATAGAAGATGCCCAGTTAATACAGGGGACCCTCAGTTTCAAAAGCAGACTCACAGGTTGTATAGAAGACTCCTAGTTAATAAAGCAGACCCCAGTTTGTATATTAGACCCATAGGTAGTAATATAGCAGGCGCCCAGATTAGTATATCAGACCCACAGGTAGTATGGAAGATCCCCAGTTACTATAGCTGACTCCTAGTTTGTATAACATACAGGTAGTATAAAAGACTATCAGTTACTATAGCAGACCCATGGGTAGTATATCAGACCCACAGGTAGTAAAGAAGACCCCCCAGTTAATATAGGGGACCCCCAGTTTGTATAACAGACCCACAGTTAGTGGTATAGCAGGTCCCCAGGTGGTAGTATAGCTGGACCCAAATCTGAAATGTGAATTTTTCATCTTACTTGGACACACTTCATTTAACTCTTTCCCCTTTTTTTTTCCCACTGTTGCTCTCTTACAGTTGATCATATTTTAATGAACCTGTATAATAACTCAAGTGAATAATATTATAGCAAACCTTTACACTCTAGAAAAAAAAAGACTTATTTTTACAATCCAGCTTGTGAGGCCTGTGCCTGGAAATGATTTTCAAAGTAATTTATTGTATTGCAATAATTTTACATTCTTGTCAGTTTATGGATCACTTTTTGGGTTTTTAAAAATTTTTTTTGTTCCATGTTCAGTATCATACTAACTGTGTATAGCAATTTTTTTATCAGTGTCAGTGATGCCTATCTCAGAGCATAAAAGCTTGTGACTTAAATTACCATTCCTTTTTAAAGCTTTTATATTAACTTTGCTGTTGTTCATGTGTTTCTCCCTGGGTTTGCGGCAAAATCTTTGGAAGGCTAATTGATCCACTTCCCGTCGGCCAATAGAGCTCAAACTTGACACAATGGACTCGTAGCCATTGACAACACATTCTGTCAAATTTTTCTTCCCCCTACACCCAAAAATCAGTTTTATCACTATCAGATGCCACTAATTTCACAAAATAAAATTCCTGATATGTGCGCTAAATGAGATTTTTAAAAATATTTCAAGTGAGTTTTGTGTACTAATATTTTATCATTCCATTATATTTTTAACGTTATAAATTAAAGAATACAAAATTGCTTAACATTCCATTTATAATAACACATTGGCAATAATGGTGGACGTTATGCAAAGATGAATGGGAACATTTGAGCATGTTTCTAATAAGTCATAACTCTTACTTTACAACTCTATTTTACAATGACCCCCCTTTGACTCAAAACTTATTGTTCAAGTTATTTGGATCTTGCCCAAATATTCTTGCTGGAATTTATAAAAATCAAAATTTGATCTATTGTCAGCCAGTGTTTTATTTATTAAAAATTTTAATGGGAAATATCTATGCTCATTGATTTTTAACATAGTTGATGTGTGAATTATATAATAATTGATTGCAACTTACTGATGACCACAGGTTTATGACATATTTAAATTTATGACCATTTGATGTGTGACATATTTATAAGAGGCCTTGGATTTCTTTCTTCGGGCCTTTCAAATGTATTTATTTTCAGTTTTAGGAACAAATTTCTAATGTGAAGTTTTCAAACTTAATTGTATGGCAAAAAATGAGGCTGAATGTATTCTTAGTGAGTTTTGGCTCAATAACTGCAAGTCAAAAGAAATGTTCAAACTAAAACAGTTGGATTGAGGCGAGTGAATTGTTTTTATTTCTAAGGCTTGTAAGTCCAGAAGTGGAATGTTGCTTAACATAAAAATGTTCAGTCACATTACTATGATGGTGGTCCTCACTGTTGAGCTTGGCTGAGTTTAACTGCTAAAATCTCTGATGCATCATAAAACTCATCACAGCTCCTTTGGAGGGCTTCCTCCTCACCACAACCTCACTCAATCTTCCTCCTCACCAAAAATCTTTGTTGTCTTTAAGTGTGATAATCTCTTTTCAAAATGGGTATGGTTATTACATGGGATTTTCTAATGCCTCTATTTGTTTTATTTTTAAAATTTTGGGGTATTGTTATTAATCACCAGTCGTTAACATCATTAAGCTGAAATGTTGTGACGGCATTATTACCAATGATCCACAGTTCTGATCTGAACACTCCAAATGGATTCTTGCTACACCCATAGCCACAGAAATCCTTAACTATATATAGAAGTTTACTTTACTACCATGAAACCCTACACTACTACCATAAAAACTTACAGTACCGCCATGAAAACCTACATTATATCATGAAAAATTACATTGCTATGATGAAAACTTATTTGTCTAAAATGTAAATATATTTTTTCTACCATGAAAAATGTCTTTACTGGCATGAAATTTACTTTCCTTTTAATGGAACTTACTTTTCTATACTGAAACTGAAATCATACTTTTCCACTATGAAAACTGTCTTTACTGACGTGAAAATTCCTCTTCGTTCAATGGATATTACTTTTCTATACTGAAATCATACTTTTCTACAATGTACTATGCCACCATTAAAACTTACTATGCCACCATTAAAACTTACTATGCCACCATTAAAACTTACTATGCCACCATTAAAACTTACTATGCCACCATTAAAACTTACTATGCCACCATTAAAACTTATTTGATCTTCATAATAGCATGCTTTATTTCAAACCAAATTGTTTCCTGCATATTCCAAGTATACCTGTGTGTTAACCAGAAGAGACAGCAAGACATATTTACACCTAACATTTCTCACAACATGTGCCTATTTGACATTGTCTAGATGAGCCGAACTATTGTAGCAATAATCTCACAGCATAATCTCATTTCTGCAACTCTATTCATTATGATACTAAAAGTCCCAGATATGTTCATTAGTTATTGCTAGTTAATTACTGGTCCCAAAAGCTCATTCTAAAGTCATTTTAAATAGTGTGACCTAACCAGCAGGCCTGGCTTAACCTGATCAATAACTGTGTGACCTGATCAGGAGATGAGCAGTGTGGCGTCACTTGGTCAATAACTGAGTGACCTAACCAGCAGGCCTGGCTTAACCTGATCAATAACTGTGTGACCTGACCAGGAGATGAGCAGTGTGGCTTCACTAGGTCAATAACTGAGTGACCTAACCTGGTCAATAGCAATGTGACCTAACCTGGTCAATAGCAATGTGGCTTAACCTGGTCAAGAACTGTCTGACCTAACCAGGTGATTAACACTGTTGTCTAGTTGGTTGTAATCATCTGGTTGTGCCTTGATGTAAGGGAATGAAATATTTCCCTTTAAAATGATAAAATTAACTCCAGTAATAGGTAGACTTGACATGTCAAACTCATACACAAAGGCAGTCTCTGATCTTATAGATCATTTGAGCACTTTGCTCATCTAGTAATGGGTAGACTTGACATGTCAAACTCACACACAAAGGCGGTCTCTGATCTTATAGATCATTAGAGCACTTTGCTCATCAAGTAATGCACTTGTAACTTGTTATGTTTTTATTGCAGCAAGAAGCTGAGATTTTTAACATTTTTATTCAGTGTAAACGTTCTGACCAGTTCTTTACATAGAATTTACAAGGCTAATGACGTTGTTGCTTATAAACATAAACTTTACACTTTTCAATATTTTGTTGTTTGTAATATATAAAAAAAGAAGATATGATACTCATACAGCTTACCCTAATAGGATTGTCTCATCCAGGTATTTTTTCTTGGCTGGATGGCACTGCATTATCAGAGCTCGTTTTCTTGTGCCACCTCTCATCAATTTTTCACTCAAGTCATTTTTATGCACTCAGTCATTTTCCACAGCTTCTAGAATGTAATCTCGGCACAATGCTGTAATACTGGCTACTCTTTTGTTGCCTCTTGTGTTTCTTTCAGTACCAGCACTCATTGTTTCAAGCTCAAATCTGCACCCACGGTCTACAATGAACTAAACAACACTGTACTTCCTTTAATGCCAAAATAACGGTTTGACCTGGCTCTTTTTTGATGAAACATTTTTATTACAATTGTTTTGTATGTAAGATGGTAGCAATTATTGATTCTGAGATCTCTAAGGCTAATAGAGCTGAAATATATCTGGTGAATGGTTTTGTTATTTTGAAGTGCTTATTTTAATCTTACGAAGTGTTGAGTGAATCCTTTGTTTTATTGGACTAGATGTCAACGTCTGTATCATGGGATGAGATACTCATGCCCTGATCATGGCTCTATTTTTTTATTGGACTAGATGTCAACGTCTGTATCATGAGATGAGATACTCATGTCCGGATCATGGCTCTATCGTTTTAGTGGACTAGATATCTTTATCAC